AGGCAGAGCCTAAATAAAATGCACGAAGATTGCCAAAGTAATTATAAATCACAATTAAAAAACGAACAAACAAAAATAGGCCTACTGCCTTACTTTACTTTGGGTCGCTGTCTAAAAAACATCATAACTCTCTCAATATACTGTGTTCAATGAACACACTGTGGTTTACAATGTTGATGTTTACATTTAGCAGCCACTATTATGTCGCGTGACCAGTAATTGCTGGAGTCGCCGATTCAGTCTATTAAAATGCTTATTTATGCACAGAAAACGTGCAGGTACATAAAATTCAAGTTCTTTTGTGTATGTTCGGTGGTGTTTTAGCATAATGATTATTATTTCAAAATGTTTTTTTTTTTTTCTATTAATGTTTTGTTCATGTTTTGTTGAACAAATTCATGCTTTTGTACAGCAATCGATGTATGTTATGCAGTACGACTAGAACTATATTAAAATTAAAATTAAATTTGCTTATTTATGCACAGAAAACGTGCAGGTACATAAATGCCACGTTCTTTATGTTAATTAATTACGTCTATGCCAAACTCTATATATTTTTAATTCATTTTATACATACTGCTTTTATGCCTTTTGCTTGGAATTTTGAGACCTCCTTTAGCCAATTTTTAAATTTTAACTTTTACAATAACCTTATATTTAAACAAGTTATGATGTAATGTATGTGTTGTGTATTTTTGTATGGTGATTGTATCATTAAGTATACATACATATATATATATATACCGTATATATATCTTTTAATCTGTGAACAAACAATCGGAGTTTTAAAACCGTATATTTTACAGTGTTTACAATAAAGATTGAATTGAATTTCTTTTCTGTATGTTTGGTGGTGTTCTAGCATAATGATTATTATTTAAAAATGTTTTTTTTTTTTTCATTAACATGTTACTAATACTTGACAAGATTCATGTTTTGTTCAACACATCGTTTATGTAGGCCCATGTCCTGTAAATATATAGTACAGTACATTAGTTAGTCTGTTATTAACCCATAGGGAGATTTTCGGATTAAAATGGCAAAAGTATGGCTAGGCCTAATCGTCTGCCCAAAACTGATGAATGCAGTATGGACCGTCCCGACTGTCAATCAAACTTTTTTTTGGGATTGACAACAATATCCCAGACTTATTCCTCCATGATCCAAATGTAGTAATTATAATACATAAGAAAAGTTTCGCCACACGTAGCGTTCTAAATCATATCTAAATACAAAAACGGCAGTAGGTGTATCACGTCGTTTTGTTGTAGGAGAGATTTAAAAATAGGCTCCCAGTGAGAGCACGTGTCTACTGCTTGAATTATGTTTTTTTTTTTGTTCTTTCTATGTGGAGAAAAGATTATTGTTACACTTCTGATTGCAATTCCTGGTCAGTACACTATTATTAGGCATAAGCATACATTAAGATTTTTAAAAATACCGTATCCCATCCACTCACGCTTTCTGTGTTGCCAATTCTCAAAAGTGAGACGATGACTGAGAGTCTATGGCCCCCTCGGGGGCAGTAGACACAAAAGCAACGAAAGAGAGTTGGTGGACGTGTGGGACGCGACGGTGAGATAGCCGAGATAACATGATCGATTGAAATACACAAGTTATATTTTCTTGCACGCAAGCGTACTGAACAGTTCGTATAATAATCCCCTATTGCATTTTGCTGACAAGATAACAACACTTGGAGGCGATTTGATATAACCGATCACGTGTCAACTGAGCTCGTTTATAATAACTTCAGACTCGCAGAGTCATTTCTCTTAGAGCTACACAATTTGTTGGACAGTTTGAACTGCTTCTCAAAGATATCCAATCGCCAAGGCTGAATACATACCACAAGAACTAAAAAAAATCTTAAATCAAGATGAACGACGATGACATGAGGTAAGTTTTTTTCGGAACGATGATGATGATGATAAATATTTATTAATATTATTTATATAATCTCATCCGACATCGTGTATACAAATAATAGGATGGAACTATATAAGACAGGCATACAGTACCCGCGAGATGCTCACAAATCTAAGCCTTTTCATGAGCCTTAGGAATTTCGAAGCTGTTTTTGCATGTTATCAATCCACGATAAGATCCCTATCATAATATATAGATTTTATTCGTCACAAACACAATAATTGATTTTCCTTGTACTGTATCAATTTTATAACTTAGAAATCTCAGCTTATTAACATAATCCTTCTTAATTGAACTGATTGCTTACTGATAGTCAAAAGTGGAGAATCAGTTTGCCGAATCCCAATATGTCGAATGTTAAATTATCGATTTCAGGCTGTAAAAACCCAGTCTGCCGAATGCCAGATCTCTGATTTAACAATATTCTTATTTTTCCGAATAAATGCATAAATGCTGTTTTGTATACTCACGCTTTTCCGAAACCCGATTTGCCGAATTTCGATATACGTGCCAAAACTGGGTGAGGATAGGCCTTACTATCGGGCACTGGGCGACGGAAAACGTAACCACTCCCCACCCCCCACCCCCACGCCCAGGCCTGGTATCAGCTTCCAAGGCCAGCAAGAGTGAACTACATGCTCATATTGTGTGGGACTATTGATCCCAAATACTAAGAAAAAAAATACAGGACAAGACCGTATTTAAACATCATGTTCGGCGAAGTGGCAATGTCACACAACAAACTGCGATGCGGATTGTAGTCAGCAATGTGTCATTTAAAAACTACTAATTTGTAATTTGGTACGGTACCAAAAATAAGAAAATAGGTATATTATTAAAATAATAGCTAACTTTAATAGAACTACAGTAACATGAAATATGAGCAATGTCAATTTTTAACAGCTTATGACAATATTACCAAGGCTGCAATTCAATTCAATTTTAATTTAAAATTCCACATATCGTGGCCCGGAGGCCAAATTGCATGTAAATTAAAATAAAAATATTTCAAAAAGCAGCAATATAAAAGATGCAGCAAGCAGAATATTTGTTTTTAATTCTATTAGTCAAATGCGGGAAAAAAACATGATGTAGGATTGTACTATAGACATAATGCAACGATTAATATTTAGTGACTGGTCGAATACGCATGTGATCACATGGTCTCTATATAACTTAAAGTAAAAAAACATTGATCGTTGAAACCGTATGAGATATTTAGAAGAGATTATTGATTTCTATAATATTCCCCCATAAAATTGATATTTAAAAAGCCATGGCATAATACTAAAAATAAAATGAGACTCTAATGATATTTTAATGCTCAGGCAAAGTCATTCAATTAGTGTTTCCGTACTTATCTTGCCAGTACAATGTGATCATGTGATTATGTTCACGCATGGTATACGGCTAAGCATTACCATATACTGGCTGTGTAGATATATTGAAAAGCGTTATCAATTAACACTTATCAATTAGCGCTTATCATATATATATATTATATATATATATTTATATTTATATATATATATAAATCAAGATTGCAAGCTCTGACGTAGCTTTTATATATCTATATATGTATGTATATATATATATATATACGGTATATATATAAATTTTAAAAAAACTCCGAATGCCTTGCAATTATCCTGATATAATTAAAAGAGAATTTTCCCTGGAAGTATTGAAATATTCCCCTTGAATATTGAGAAGTAAAATTAGAGAAGTGTAAAGAAAACAACCACTTGGCCACTGTAAAACAGGTCCGTAGGCAGGAGTGGGGGTGCAGAGGGTGCGGACGCACCCCCCCCCCCCCCCCCCCCCCCCCACAACCCTCACCAACCAAAAGGTCCACTTTTTAAAACAACCTATTATTTCACAAAACCGTTCCTAATTATCACAAAATGCTATAGCATGCATTGCATTATATATTTGCCAGCACATCCAGCCGTTGATTTTAAATATGATATGAAATTTGTTGAAAATGTATGTCTCCGGTGAATGCAGATTGATCTATAATATGTACATCTGTAGGCATGCAGATGTACAGAACATAATAGCGCTACTTCTTCAGGCTCCCCCCCCCCCCCCCCCCCCCCTAAAGAAAACCCCCAAATTAATGAAAATTTAAATAAAATATTCACGAATTATGTGTTTGAGAAATCCATTACATAAGACCCTCAAAATGCTACTTTGTCGGATCCTCCTATCGCTTTTCTCAAAAAGCCCCATCAGGTCTCTGCCCCTGGACCACCAAATTTCAAAAAGTCCACTTTTTAAAACCTATTATTTCATTAAAATATTTCCTGATTATAGCGAAATGCTATAGGCCTAGTATGCATTACATTTTTTTGCCCGCTCTTCTAACCATTGATTTTTAATAATGTGCTACGAAATCTGTTAGAAATTATCAGCTCTAGTGATTGCAAATTGATCCATGTCATCTGTAGACCTACAGATGCAAAGGACATAAAAAGTTACAACTTCACAGTGGCGGATAAGGGGGTGGGGGAGAGCTCCCTAAAATTATAAAATAAATGGAGAAAAAAGAAAAATCATAATTAAATTTTGTTTGACAGTGCCATTTCCGACCATCTAGAGGTGCCATAATCATAAATTTTCTTACCTCAGCCCAAACCATGGTGGGGCTGAGGTGTATTGACCATACGTCCGTGAAAGTTCCTCCCGGCCTTGGAGCCCCTCTATTTCTCCTGCTTTATGCCCCTAAACAATACCCAAATGAATGAAAATTTATATAGAATATTACGAATTATAGGTTTCAGAAATCCCTCAAAATGCTAATTTGTCGGAGCTTCCGGGGGATACGCCCCCCCCCCCCACGGGGATCCATAGGCGGTCGCCCATCTTAAGGTCCGCTTCGGTCGCAAAAGCGCACCTCCCCATCGAAAATCCTGCCTAGGGGCCTGTGTAAAATATTGATATATTTTGCATATATTAATTGATTTTGTCAAGAAGCTGCTCTCTAGAGAACAAGCCTTGTTTTATTACGATGAAAAATTGTTGTGATCGTGCTTTTTAACGTTTCTATTACTCATTGAGCGATCAACAAAAGAATCCGAATATTTAAAAACATATATGGCTGATTGTTTTCCAGTATATAATATAGTTTTATTACGATGTAAGTATGATCAATCGGCGATCTAAGAAAGGTTTTCACTTCATTTTATTTCATTTATTTGTCTTTAGAAAACATTCAAGGACACGAGAAAATACATACAAATGGACAGAAAAGAAGCAATCGTTCACAACCCGTCGGGATAACCAAAAAGCGAAATAAATCACTGTCGAGTGGTCCTCCAAGGTTGAAACAATACACGAAAACACTTAAATATACGTATAATATACGGTAGTACTATAGGCCTATATAGATTAAACTTAAATGTCATTATTCAGTTCATTTCTAAATTGCTCTAGCTTTAAAATATTTATTTGAACGCGCTCCCAGCACTTAACCAAGGTTTAATGCAGACGGTACGGTACGCAGCATCTCCAACGCATTATACAAACGTTAACTTCGCTACTAAATAATGTAAAAATTATTTCATGGCTTGCTGATGCATCGCTAATATTAATGATTCCATGATTTGCTGTTGCGTTGCTTCAACGCATGCACAATGGATTGGTTTTAACGTCGATCCGCTCAGGTTGCCACGACTCTTCAGCAACAGACGGCCTCGTTATTAGAGAAGATTCCGTCAACCGACGACGATCGGCCGGCGGACGCAACATTTTCCCGGCTTTAGACAAAAAACCTTTCCAAACATCCATGATCATTTTACTATCAAGTTGACACAATTTTCATTTAATTGCATTGTTATCAATACAAAAGAAATTGTTATCAATGCAAGTATTTATATATCAAGCTAAATTTTAACCTTTTTGTTGAACTGTACTCGTGTTCTTTATCAACTCTTTACTCGGGAAGTGAACACTCATTGATAAATAAAATATATCGGTGTCTGTATTGAATACTTCTTATGCCTGTCCATCGTATATACATTTAAAGCAATCGATCAATCTATAAAACGAGTAATATAATTCCCTATGAGCCAATCCAGCACTATGTGATTCGTATGCAGATTAATTAGAACCTCTTATTTAAAAGAGTAGTGCTACTAAATTATACTATATTAATTTATGTATTTATACCGGTACACAGTGGAACCTATGAACATTACATACTGATGACGTATGTAGTGACCCTTTAAACTAAAGTGGCGGTTCAAGTTTCTATAAAAAGTAAGCCATACATTCAGCAAATTAGGCCTATTCATTATTCAGAACCGATTAGGCCTACAACTAATCAAGATTGTCCTCTTAGACTGTCTCTTCTCCCCATATACTGTACTGCAAATGAATCTCGCCGTGATGAATATATACAGCATCTTTCATTAATGGTCTTACATCAATTGATATAAATTATCGTTACCTTACAGCAATAAGAGGTGGTACAGTACACAATGTTTAGATTTTAAGTGCTCGTTTCTGCAATTTTAGGCTTAACTGCTGACAATCTGTTGAACTGGAATGAACAAGATTTACAAGCCAAACAGCAGAATCAAATTCATTTTCTTAGAAGAAATTTAATTTAATAACGCAATATGAAAATTTGAAGACATTTGACGAATGATCTGTTTGTTCATGTGACTTGACCTTTTACATAGTCCTCCTTCGCAGCCGAGCCAACAGAAAAGGCTGATTAATGTGAGGTATTTACAAGATAGGCCTATTTAGTTCAAATCTAATTACAAATTTGGGTTATTATAAACCACCCATACTTTAGGCCGATTAGTTTCATCACATAAATCAAAATTGATTATTTTTTAAATTTATTATGTGGTAGTGTTAGTAGTACAACCGGGGTTTTGATGGATCCGCAAAATCAAATCTGCCACAATATTAGGGTTAAATTTGACACATAATTATAGACATGTAGGCCTATATGATCTGAATATGGTTCACACAAGCGTTATCTGTGAAGTTGTCGTGGATCAAAATTTTAAAAGAAGACAGGAGGCATATTGTATAATGTTTATAATGTATCTCCAGCCAAACTTCATATTTGCATAACTAGCCTGTCAGCCTGACTAACATTACCTTCTCTAAAGCTCTATCCACACTATCAAATTTTCTTTGACAAAAAAATGTGACAAGCCCATATATAGTAATGCTATGCCTATATATGGTCATGCTGTGATGTCATCATGCCCATATATGGGCATATCACACTTTTTTGTCACACAAAATTTGATAGTGCAGACAAAGCTTAAGTTATCTATTATTATATGCAATAATATCAATACCACCATAACGAAATTATGAAAAGGCATATTTCATATTTAAAGAATCTAAAAATAATATCATTTTCAAATATCATACTCATACAACATCAACAAAATAAACACCATTAACGTTTTAAATCAGCTCAATCATATTTGTCATCAAAGATGTCATGTTTAAAGAATCTAAGTATAATCTCAAACACGAATTATATAGGCCTATTCGTGCAAGTTATCAAACAAGTATACCGGTATTAAAATAAATGACATCCATTATTGTTTACATGCGTGCAATGTTAAGTGCGCTTACAGTCAGAAAAACAAAGTTGATAATAGCAAATATTTTTTTTTTGTGTCTGTTTATGATTGTGATTTGAAATAGTTATGAACAGTTGGGACTACAAACTTAAAAATATTGTTTAATACATCTACAGTTGTTTTTTCTTCTTTTTTTCAGTTTATCCTGGTCCTCTTTCTCTTACTATAATGAAACAAATCAGGATACGTTTTACCTGATGAATACTGTTCTATTTTATTTGAATACTATTGTTTGCTGCCTGGGCATCGTCTTCAATTTGATATTGACTATTATTTGCCTGAAACTCTGCGCTTATGGATCTGGTCGAAGTGTATTTTGTGGGAGGGCGTACTTCTTTGTTATGTGGCTCTGTATGTGTAATTTTCTTTTTCTGATGTATCGTAGTATATTCCGTATACTATTCAACAAGACGAATGATCAGATCGATACAAATATGGAATGCAAATTGTACAATGCTTTTGAAGTGATTGCACAAGGCTTTGCTATCTATACCTTAGTAGCGTTGAGTCTTGATCGATACGGGGTAGTTCTGAACCCAACTCTTGGTATCACGCTTGTCACTCGCTACCGCTATTTGATTCTGTTATTTATTTTTTTGATTTCGATTGGATCAAGTGTGCCGATACTTATTTATGGAAAAATAACCAGCTTTCACAAATGCGAATATATCATGCGATTCACTCAACACGCTCTGGTGTATGAAACAACGCGTGCGATTGTTATGTACGTACTCCCATTGGTACTGATATCCATATTCTACGTTAAAATGGCGATGATTTTGTATGGCAGTCGTCACAGTGAAGCGTCACAGAACTCGACAAACTATCAACAACGAACAAAACAGCGAAATCGCCTGGCCCTTTCTGTGCTACTGATTACAATCATATTTGGCGTATGCCACTTCTCTATCAATCTCGGAATGTGTTTACAAGAACGTTACACATATATTAGACTTGGACAACTTCTTACTGACATCGGGCGACCGTTGGTGTATATCAATGCTTGCACACATCCCATTGTTGTGTTTATTATCAATCGAGCCGTTAGGAATGAACTTAGGCCGCTTGTCAGAGTGTTTAGCAGACTGCCAGATCGTCGAAGCACGCGCCAAACTATCAACATTGAGTTATCGAGTGGTAGAGAGAGACATACATCAACATATACACTGATATCGAAACATGACACAAACAACGCATACAACCAACAAAAGACATGACGGGCACAAGTGAAATGTAGTAGTAATGTAATGTAATGTAATTACTATCTGTAAAGAAAGAGGAAAATCAAAAACAGAAGCCACAGCTTGCCATCATAAACAACTTAAATAGACCTATTATTCATTGCGCTCTAAATATTACAAGAAGGTCTGGCCTATCACTTCATGCTTATTATTTTAATTCACATAGAAGGCTTAAAACAGCGAGAAATTATATACACTTGAAATTTTTTGGTCACTGATAAAAACAAAAGTGATATACCGGATCGTTTATTGTTCAGAAGGGTTTTTGAGGGGATGTTTATTCAAGGGAATATGATCATGTGCTTTATTGAATTTGTATCAATCAATAGATAAATCAATGGTCAAAATTCGTAAAACTTCACCCACTGCAAGCAACTCTTGATGGTACTGTGTAACATTAGCTCATCAATCTTCTTTACCATACAACTGATAAAGATTGATCGGTGACCATGTGTCTTAATTTCCCATTATATTTCTTCTTGTGTATTGAAAGCGTGGAAGCTGCTATATATAGACCTTTCCGGAGTGTCAATCAACAGCTGACTAATCAGAACAGCGCTAGGAATACGCGCGCGTCTCACTGTTGTCCCACAAACGCACGAGTTAGCGTATGTTTTAACCATGGAGGTATTAGGCATTTTTCGTTTTGACTACGCGGCCAGTCTACTACGAACTAATGGACCGTGACGGCAACGCCAAGACACTGTTCGCGTACTACATAAAGAGCTGTTTTCGTTTTTTTAAGGCGACTACGACGACGCAGCACACGTACGTAGGCCTACGGAGGGGAGTTAGTCGA